AAGGAGCCTATAACCTAATCAGAATGAAGCAAAGAGAAGAATAGAAGACTGCTTTCAGGACCTAAAAAGGATATTTTGAATACCTCATTATACCCTTCAGCCTCACTAACGCTCCTGCAATATTTCAGAACATAATTAACTAAGTCCTACGTAAGTATATCGACATTTGCGTAATAGTCTACCTTAATAATATCCTCATCTTCTCGCTAACACTTGAGAAATATAAAGAAGACGTGCACCACATCTTATAAGCCCTCTAAGAAGCTAAGCTATTAGTGGAACCTGAGAAAAGCAAATTCCACACACAGAAGGTGGAATACCTCAGATTCACTATCACCCCTAGAAAAGTCTGCATATCAGAAAATAAAGTTAAAGCTATTAAGGAATAGCTGGTACCTAATAACCTCAAGGAAGTCTAAGGATTCCTAGGTTTCGTCAACTTCTACTGCAAATTTATCAAAGACTATAGCAAGATCAACGCAGCTCTCATAAGCCTCAGCTGCAAAGATACACCCTTTATATAGGAAGAACTATAATAAACAGCATTCCAGAAAATCAAGGACCTTATCGCCAGCAAACCCATCCTAATCATTCTAGATCTAATAAAGCAATTCAAAGTAGAACCAGATGCATCTAACTATGCGATTAGAGCGTAACTATCTCAATAAGATTCAGAAGGGCGACTACACCTATACGCCTTCTTCTCTTGCAAACTCCACAGACCTGAACTCAACTATCAGATTCACAATAAGGAACTCATAGCAATTATTAAAGCCTTTAAGGAATAGAGACCTAAGCTTTTAGGAACCATCCATAAAGTACTTATATATTCAGGCCATAAGAACCTTTCACACTTCACAACTTCAAAAGTGTTAAATAAACAACAGATTAGATAGTTAGAATTCTTGTCAGAATTCAACTTCTAAATCATCTACTATAAAGGATCAGATAATAGCAGAGCTAACGCTCTTAGCTGACGACCAGACTATAACATCTCAATACCTAAAGAAACCTAGGTGATTCTCAAAGGAAATAATAATAGAGACCTAGTGCTAGCAACCAAACTCTTGATAATGGCTGGACGATCTAATACTAGCCCGCCTAGCGAACTAGACGATAAAGCAATTATGGAGTTTTATGCTCGCCCTGCATATAATCACCAAGGAATCACAAAAGCCTAGAAATAACTATAATAATAATATAGAGAAAAGGTCACTAGAAAATAAGTGGCAAAAGCAATTAAGGATTATAAGGTCTGCCTCAAAAGCAAACCTGCTTAATATCAACCTTATGGTATGCTACAACCCTTGCCTATGCTGCAAACCGCCTAGTAATCTATATCTCTTAACTTCATTATCAAATTACTAAAGTCTTAAGAACCCCTTATAGGAACACACTTTAATAGCGTTCTTATTATTATGGACTAACTTATGAAGTATGCCTACTTCATCCTATATAAGGAATTAAGCAACGCTAAAGAATATGCCTATATATTTCTCAAATATATTATCACTAATCACAGAACACCTAAGGAAATTATATCAGATAGAGATAAGATTTTCACTTCTAAATTCTGAAAGTTAATCATATTACAACTCAGCATCAAGCAAGTAATATCCACTGCATTCCACCTGCAAACCAATAGACAAACAGAACAAATTAACTAAATCCTCGAAACATATCTCCACGCCTACGTCAACTACAACCAAGATAATTAGGTTATATTGCTACTAATAGCCTAATTCGCCTACAACAGCGCAGTAGGAGAAAGTACCAAGGAATCCCCCTTCCATCTCAACTACAGATTTGAACCAACCGCCTATAGAAACATACGACCAGGCCTAGCTGCAGTTAAAGCTGTTGCCTTAGTATAATAAATCAAGGATATCTAAGATAATATACGCAAAGAACTTAAATTTATACAACAACAAATAGCATGATTCAGTAATCAACAAAGGATTAAGGGACCAACCTTAGAAGAGGGAGATAGCGCCTATCTTATACAGCGAAACATTAAGACAAAGCGACCAAACAACAAACTTAACTATAAAAAACTCAGACCTTTCAAAATTTCATGAGTAATCTCACTAGTTAACTACAAACTTAAACTCCTAGAAACCATAAAGTGTCACCTAGTATTCCACGTCTCACTCCTTAAACCAGCATTATATAGATTATAGACAAATAATATTATTATTATAGAAAACAACAAACTAGAGTATAAAGTCGAATAAATTATTAACTATCTCAAAGAACCAGAAGGGTATTAATACCTTGTTAAATAGAAAGGATATAGATATAAAGATAACATACAGGAACCAGCTAAAAATATCACTAATACAGCTGAAGAACTTATAATCTACTGGCAATAACACTAAGAATAAGAAGTCACACTAGCACCTGTTATACTAGTCCAGAAGAACACTAGATATAAGCAAATCAAGTACCTATATTGCTTCACTAAACCACCTACTAAAGCAGATCAACCGCAATAAGGAAAACTATTTATTCGCCTAGGAACACTAGAAACAGACTAAGATAACACTAAAGCACCACTAGTATTAGGCACTAAAAGACCTAGATCGATAAAGTCCAGACTAAAGCTAAACTCTTGCCACTCTAGATCGTTTGGCACCCTAGCAGCTTAGAGATTATTCACCACCTACTTCTCATAAGCATCTAACGCTAGAAGCATATTATCCTCCTTATTAATCTCCTGTATTCCCCGCTCAAAAGCCTCAGTCTGGCGCTCTCTTACCAGCCTCCTCATCTTATAAATATAACTTAAGCGACTAGCAGCCTCTGCTATTTAAGTCTGCAAATAAGCAAACTCCTGGTGAAGTGTAAGCAACTCCTCACCAGCTTTCTCTTCTTTTTCATCCTACTCCTTTTGTTGCTTATTCAACTTTTGCACTATAATGCGATCAGTTACCACTCAGAGGAATCAGGATTAAGAATCACTATATAAGTTAAAGCCACTAAAACACTATCATAAGGCTTCTTCGCCTTAATATATATATAGCATCTAGACGACTTCTCACTAAAACAGCAAGGAACCTTCGCTTAGAAATAATAGGTATAAGGCATATTGCTAGCTAAGGAATAAGACTTAACATATTTAATTAAAGCCTCATGCTTATAATCCTTAAGCTTAATAGTGACTAATTTCTTTTTTGATTTTTAAACACAACCTAATATAATGTCAGCATTATAAGTAAATCAGGAAGCATAATTAACAGATCCCTAACCTAGGACTAACAACCTACTTATATTAGGCCTTAAAGATAAGACCTTTAGAGAGGGGACCTGATGTTATAACCTATTATGCATAGATAACAGTTAAACAACCCTACTTAAGCGTCAGGCGGCTAGGATAGGATATTTATACTCTGCAGGATCACAGGAACAATAGGGGCTCACTCAGAATAGAAGAACTATAGTATAAGTCACATAATGATAAGAAGGACCGACAAGGGATAAGCAGTCCTAACTTAGGACTAACACAGAGAAAGCAGTCTACACCCAGGGACCGCTCAGAAAGACATCAGTCCTCAGAATAAGGAAACTACCTTAGACTTATATATAGTGTGACCCTGAGCTTAGCTTATAGTCAGACCTTCATAGCTCTTCAGCAATCAACTTAGTATTTATCCTCACAGATACTCTCAGCTTACCTTCACTGCGAATCACTTATTAAGTCTAAGACTGATCACCTTAGCCTCTGAAGAACCAATCTACTACAGCCTACGAACTACAACCTACGACCACGACCTAGTGTACTGTTAGAACGTATTAATCCCCAGCTTCTGTTAGCAGACCCTACTGTCGGATAGCTGACCGTAACAGTCCGCCCCCAACTTTGTGGCCTGACAAAGGCAAAAAAAAGGGGTATTTTACTGAAAAACCACTAAATTACCCCAAATTTCACACTTTAATAGCTCTATACGTACGTAATACGTGAGAATAAAAAATACATTGTTATAATTACTTAATCGAGGGCTATTAATTAATATATTTTTTATTCTTACGTATTATATATATATATAGAGAGCTATTAAAGTGTGAAATTTAGGGTAATTTAGGGGGTTTTTAAGTAGAGTTTCGTCTTTTAATTTTTTTAGTATTATAAAAATTTTCTACTAACCTAAAACCCCCTAAATTACTCTAAATTTCACACTTTAATAGCTCTATACGTACATAATACGTAAGAATAAAAAAGATATTATTATGATCACTTAATTAAAAACTATTAATTAATATACTTTTTATTCTTACGTATTACGTATATATAGAGCTATTAAAATATGAAACTTAGGGTGATTTAGGGGGTTTTAGGCTAGCGGAAAATTTTCCTTCCCGGTTAAAGTTAGGGGCGGACGCTGTCAATGCAACGGACTGTAAGAGAGTGAGTCGGATGCGGGGAACCGTCGCCGAACATTGTTGAAGATTGTCATTAACATCATTTCAACCTCTTTTAGAGACAACGAGCGATCTAGTCGCAGGTGCAACCGAGCGTCAATGTTGTGTCAAAAAGGCTTAATGCGTAGAGCAGATGTGCTCGCTGCCGTGATATGAAGGTCCGATGCTCGGGCACGGTCCCATGTACGCGATGTGAGAAGAAGAAGGAAAGTTGTTACTTCAGACCAGAGGAGACTCATATCACAGTATCTGAAAGGTATGATTCACATTTACACTGCTTCCACTATCACGTGTAACACGATCAGCTCACTTACTTAAGATAATAGTTATCTGAGAGCCCTAGAGACCCGTACGGGTCGGCCGAGAGAAAGTCTTCGGCACTCAGCACGAGGGCTGCCATTACGACGTCCCCGTGACCTCTCCTAAGCTTCTGTCCTATCTCCACCCCGATCGGCAGATAGCTCTGGTCAGTTGGACGGACAACCTACTCAAAACTATGGCTACATCGGGGGAAGCGCTAGAGATCATGATCATGCGAATCCGGGTGAGCGTTGTTCAGTTATTTAGCACAAGGGTTCAACATGCTGACATGTTGTTATTGGATAGAAGATGCGAGACTTTTGTATCGGGATGAACAACCATTAGAAAGTGTTCCCACCTCTGTACGACCATCTGCAAATGACTTCGAGACAAACCCACTGGTGAACGACGGGGAGAGCTTCGCTCTCGACTCGTATGGAGAATACTGTAGGTTAACACTATCGGTGTATTCTCTTCTAGTTGCCTAGATATTTGTCTTTTCAAGCTTACAAATAGCCAGGGTTTATGGGCCCAACATCATCATGGGCCTTTTGCAGACGCGTACTGGTAGCGATTGGCAGTCACACGCCTGACCCGGAGCCGCCACTCCGTCCTTGGGACCTCGAAACTTTGAATCTCACATGGAATCCAATTGGTCTCAATGAGCAACCTGATGTTGAAAGCCTGCCGTCATATGAGTATGCCGTGTTCAATTTGGCTGCAGTCAAATACCACCTGAGTCCATTCTCCGAGATTATCGATTATGATGAGTTTGATCAGCGCCTGAAGCAGTTTTACGAGAGCCCGGCCACTGAAGCTAAGCACGCAAGGTACTGGTACAGCCAACTTCTATTTGTTCTAGCATTCGGAGAAGCCTTCAATGCGACAGGGACATCCAAGTCTGTACCTGGCGTGGGCTATGCTTCTCGCGCCTTATCCCTCCTCCCGACTATGATACCCATGGAGAAAGAGCCTCTAAGGGCTGCCGAAGCCTTATGTTTGGGCGCACTCTATCTTCAAGCGTTGGGTTTGAGACTGATGTCGTTCCAGCTCGTAAGTAGACGGTTCCGAAATGTGGTTTTGCATGATGCTAAGCTAGATACCTTAGATAGGCCAAGCTCTGCAAGTTTGTGTCCTCGATGGCATGCACAGACATATGCCGCCCCAACAAGTAGAGCCACGACACGCACAACGATGCAACACCGTTTTCTGGTCTGCGTACATTATTGATCGAGAGTTTTCCACTTTGGTTGGAACTCCTAGCTCTATCAGAGATGAAGATATTACAACCAAACTTCCTACGAAAATCGCCAACACTGCAGGTGCTGCTGCTTTAGAGCTTCATATTCAGCTTTCTCGTCTCACAGCTAGAATATTGAATGGTAAGACCCAGGTGTCTCTCGAGGTTGCCTAGGTCTGGTCTGGTACAGCAAGCTTACTAGAATTTTGCAGGTGTATATGGGGTAGATCGGAACTTTGATGGAAGCCTTGTCACAGAAACCCAGTCTGTTTTGCGTTTAATTGCCATGGTTTCGATAAATCTGAGCTCTTACATGAGCACAACACTTCGTGGTGCTGATGTGAAGACGTCAAAAGTCGCGACCCGTTTAGTCCTGTCGTATCACCATGTAAGCCTGCTGCTCATTTGTTGACTTCGTTTGGAACTGATAATGTGAACGGTAGTGTGTTGTCCTCACAACTCGTCCTTTGGTGATGTGTGTACTTCAAAAGAGGCTAGCAACCGGGAGTAATGACAAGTCCATACCGTATGGACCCATCAGTTCTTTACTCCAAACCTGTGTAGCCTCCGCGGTAAACACTCTCAAGGCATTGAAGGCACTTGGAGACGACAACTTACTAGGTACGTTTTGTCCCTCTAACGTCGTATTATACTCTCAACGTCCACGGGTATAGTCAATGTACTGACATTGCAGACGGCTTTCTACCATTCCAACTCGAGGCCGCCTGGTCATCCGCATTTCTTCTCAAGGTACTCGAAGTTTTGTCATCTGGCATGGTCCCTGATCAATCATACCTGGCAGAAGCACATTACATATTCGACATCATGAATCAGAGAGGGAGTCCTGCGGCAAAGCTGCGTAAGTGCGACTTTGAACGACTTGAACAGCTTGTGTCGTCTTTTCTCGGTACATCATCTCAAGGGAACAATGAATATCCAGAAGAACACTTGTCCTCACAAGAGAATTCCTCCGAACAAGCAAATGCGGAGGGTTCTCACAATATCGATCCTGTTGAATCACTACAATGGGATCTCTTCGACAAGGAAAGCGGCTTCGCTCTCTCCCCGACGGAACTCATGGACCTGGCTGAAAGCTTGCACATGGAAGACTTCTTTGTCGCCAGGCAAGAAGAACATGATTGAACACATTGGGCAGTCTGCAACGTCAGGACTCATGTCGTTCGTACTTGGGAAACCTCGGCTGCTCACCTTTGCAGAACTTGAGGCCGCATCTGCGCCTCAACCATGAAGCATTGAAATCGAATCAGTAATCTAAATCTAGGAGAACTTCGCCGTTCACAGCAATACTACCGAGGGCCGATATTCTGATCAATTCAAATAGACGTCTGCGGATGCCGTCCATCTCAACCTGACCTCGGCCCAGAGTCTAATGCCCTTCTGGTAGAGGTCGCAAAGACTCGTAAGCGGATATCACGCCCCTTCAAGTGCCGTTCAGACGCGTCCGAAACGCCGCAAATGGCATCAGAATGGCGTCCGGGAGCGGGATGAGTCCGAGTTGCGGGGCTGGAGTAGTCCGGTGCATGGGGCCGTGGCATTCCGCCTTTCGCCTCCGTTGGCCTGAAATCACTCCGAGGTCTCAACAAATAGGTCCAGCAGAGCATGGAAATCATCTGCAGACCCACAAAGAGCCGAAGAGCATGGTGTACAATGCTTGGTAAATACACTCAGACCTCGGCTCAATTACCTTTTACGTCTTTTCTCAACATCGCAACTACACAGGGTGTTGTACTTTCTGCGAAGCGAAGTTTGCATATGATGTCTTTGCTCCTAGATAACAGAGTATTTAGTGCATTGAAAAGGACCGAAATGTTTTCCATGGCCTGCATTTAACAGAAGCAAAGTAGTACTTCAACATGCTTTTCTCAACGTCTTTCAGCAACGCCTCGCAAGTTGCCTGGAGCAGCATCTCTTTGCCGGCCGCCGTCGCCGTAATTGCGTATCTTTTGTTGGTTCGGACCCTGAGATATCACCGGGAAAATGCCATGGAGGCACCGTTCACTTCTGGGGGAAGGCCCTTGTCAGGCATGACTATCGAGGAGTCTCAAAGCATTATGAATCAGTTGCAGGAGCTCGAGTTCCCCCGTTCCATGGCAAAAGCTCGCCAGATCTCCCTCCTGAAGGTAAGTGATTTGTCGGCAGAACTTCCCCAAGGGCCAGCATGAGCACTGACGCTTCAGATCGACATCTTCAGGCTAGTGCTATCCCAACTATGTCTAAGCTCTTCTTAGCGACGGGCCAAAACAGCAGGCGTAACGCTGGGAGACGCGCCGTTGACACAGAAATTCTTCTTAGGAAGGCACAATCAAAGTCTAGGGATTCAGATCGATATGCTACCGCAGTTGCAAGAATGAATTATCTGTAAGGAACTTGTCCGGGAGCTTTCAAGTTGTTGCTAATAATAGCACTCAATACCCTAGACACGATCGTTACCGCCGAGCAAGTAAAATCACAGACAACGACTTACTTCATACACTAGGCGACAGTCTTATTTCCATCTTTGAGGTCGTCGACAAGGATGAATGGCGCAAGTTGACGGGCGCCGAGAAGTGTGCCGCTGGAGTTTTTCACAAAATCTTGGGTGACGACATGAAAATTCCATACGATGTGCTGCCCTCGCATAACGAAGGTTGGAGGGACGGCTTGCATTTTGCCAACGAATTGACCGAATGGGTCGTTCAGTACGAACATGAAGTAGCCCGGCCCTCGGAAGCCACTGACCACTACGTGAGCGTCTACGTCGATGCAGCCGTGTCTGCTCTGCCCGACTTCGTACGAATCACTTTGCGAAAGACATTGGCTGCTGATATGAACGATATCATGGTGCAAAGTCTCAAGTATGTTGAAGGATTCAACGGCTTCTGGTTTCAAAATAACTAATGCGATTTCCTTCACGACAGTCTCGAGTCTCCTGGCACCATTCTCTCAACAGCGCTTCTCGCTTACCGCAATGTACGAAAGCTCTACCTTAGACACCTTTCTCCCCCTCGTCCAACATCCTCCGCCGTCAGGCTGGTTGACGACGCTGCCAACCCTCAGAGCAAGCTCTACAATTTTCAACGAAAGGTTCTGCAGCCGTGGTACATGAAACCTACCTTTTGGTCCACGTGGGGACCTGCCGCATTGCTGTTGCGGTCACTGGGCGCGGAAGCACCTGGCTCGCAGGGAGACCGATACTATCCTCAAGGATATGATCTGATGACGATCGGACCAGAACCGCAGAAGGGAAAGGGAATCGAGGAAATGACTTCAGACATCGAGACTGTCAAAGGCAGAGGAGTTGCGACTTGCCCATTCTCACATGCAAAGGCAGGATACATCTAGGTGGGGATTGAAAGAGCCGGCACTGAGAGATCCTGTCTGTGCGATGTTAAGTGCGATCTCCTCATCCATGCCTTGGTTATCATGTTCTTATTGTCCTTTCAATCGATTGTGAATTTGAACATGGGTTTGGGGCGCAGATGGTTGTAGAGGCCCATGATTTGTACACGTATTTGCAAAGTCAGATAGGTCAGGTGTTTCCGCCACAATCATTGAAGATCTGGAACCTCGTGAAAGCCGAAGCACGAACCGGTGTTCCGTCAAATGCCGGGAGATCCACACCGAGGTCGCCCCTCTTCGCCCGAGTTGCAGGATTCAGATCGGAGAAAATTACACGCTATGATTTTAGCTAGCAAAACCCTGTACAGTTCGCATTGACCCCTGGCGAGGTGCATTTAAGGGTCTAAAGACACAAACTGCCACGGGAACTGTAAGCGCGCCTTCGAACCACAGATATCTTTCATCTAATCTCTGGCTTCTGGGGAGATTGAGCATATTCATCAGTTGGTCATCGATTCAACTGGTAATTCAATAAAAGCCCACAGCAAGTCAGGCACAGCCTGGAACCAAGACCTGCCTGCCGGCTTGTCCCTCCAATGACCACGTTTCGTGCACGTAATGGGTCTCCGCTTGGTCCGCCTGGACGTAAAAGTTTTGATGGGCGACGCCTTTCGTTGACAGTGGCTAGCGGCGGTTTTTGCTCGGCTTTGCAGAGTGGAAAATTCTTGCATCCATCTGAATCTCAAATGGAGCCGCAGCGGCTCCATTCTTTACCTAAAAGCTCCTCGCTTGTGTTTCTGAATACAGTAAAGTGCCAAGAGGAACCGCCGAGCGGGCCTTCTAGCGCGGCTCAAACATGCCATGGAAAGCTTCTTTTACGACATCAAAACATGGTGATGGCGCCCTCCGCAACACGCCCCAGGTAACCGCGAGATTCAGGCCGAAGAACGACCATTCAGCGCATTCGCAATTCAGTCTTTATGGGGTATTTCTTGTATAGTGACACAAAACAATTAGATCTTTTTACTCCAAGATGCATTCCCCGTGCTGTAGGGGTTATCTCTTATCTCTGGGCGCCCATGGGGCGAGATCGTTCTGTGGAGGAAGACCCGACTGTTACCGGCCATGCGACTGACGACAACCTCTCCGGCCAAGGATCCCGCCGGTCGGTCATCGCCCATGTGGATCCCAAAATCTTGACTCGCGCCTCTTGATCATCGTTTAAAAGACAGCAAACGTCAGACCGTTCGCGTCGAGTTGACCGCCCGGGTTCTCGTTCCTCCAGTGGTCTCACCCTCTCTTCTTTCCTCCTCTCTTGACTTCCCTCTTGAGTCCAGCCTTTGCCAAACTTTCCAAAGTGTTGGCAGTGACTGCAACGGCTCAACTCCTCCCATAATGACGGACGCTATTACCACCGCGACCGCTACCGGTCCCAACAGCAAGGACACCAAGAACGACAAGGTTGATGCCGAGCAAGTTCAGCCGCGCAATCCTTGGCCCGAGATGAACGACCAGACCATGCTCGGCGAAACCAGCGATGAACTGAACAACGACCGCCTCAAGAAGATTGCCGCCGAGGGTAGCGCTCACTTCCACCGTCTGGGCTGGAAGCGCCTCGCCATCGTCACCATCGTTGAGGCCGTTGCCCTCGGTGCCCTTAGTCTGCCTTCGGCCTATCATACTCTCGGAATGTTTCCGGGTGTTTTCCTCACCATCACCCTTGGCATGATCTCGATTTTCACTAGTTATCTCGTCGGCCAGGTCAAGCTGGCTCACCCGTACATCGCTAACTACGCGGATGCTGGAAGACTTCTTTTCGGCCGCTTCGGACGTATTGGATACGAGCTTTTTGGTGCTGCTCTTGTTCTTGAGCTTGTCATGGTCGTTGGTTCTCACGCTTTGACTGGAAGCATCGCGCTGGTTGACATCAACGGTGGCCATGTCTGCTCCATCGTCTTCTCCGCAGTTTCAGCTATCATCCTTCTCATTCTCGCCATTCCCCCGTCGTTCACCGAGGTCGCCATTCTGGGATATATTGACTTCGTGTCCATCCTGGCGGCTATTGGCATTACCGTTATCGCTACTGGTATTCAGGCCAGCAACTCCGCAGGCGGCCTTTCCGGTGTCGAGTGGTCCGCCTGGCCTAAGGAGGGGATTTCCTTCTCAGAGGCCTTCGTCGCAGTGAGCAACATCATCTTTGCTTTCAGTTTCGCGATCGGCCAATTTTCCTTCATGGACGAGATGCATACGCCGACCGACTATATGAAGTCCATCTGGGCGTCTGGATTCATTCAGATCGGTATTTATACCTTGACCGGCGCTCTATGCTACGCTTTTATCGGACCTTCCGTGCAATCTCCAGCGCTACTCTCTGCTGGACCCCTTATTTCCAAAATTGCTTTTGGTGTCGCCATCCCGGTCATCTTCATCTCCGGCTCGATCAACTCGACTGTTGCCCTCCGATATCTTCACGGCCGTATGTACAAGAACTCTCACTTGCGCTACATCAACACCCCCATGGGCTGGGCTAGCTGGATTATCCTTGTAGTCATCTTCACTATCATCGCTTGGGTGATTGCTGAGGCTATTCCCATCTTTTCCGACCTGCTCTCTCTGGCTTCTGCTCTCTTCGTCTCCGGGTTCTCATTCTATATCCCGGCTATCATGTGGTTCGCACTGCTCTGCAAGGGCAAGTGGTACTCCCGTGAGAATATTCTCATCAGCGCTGGAAGCATCCTCGCTTTCATTATCGGTGCTGTCACCCTGGTCGCTGGTACTTACTCGACCATCGTGGATATTGTAAGTCAACGCGAAATTTCAAATTCCTCAAAAGGCATGCTAAAGACGTATAGATTGATGAGACGACGACTGGCTCTGCTCACAAGCCTTTTGCTTGCAGATCTTCTTAGGCTGTAACTAAGAAATGTAGTTGTACATAATTATTAGAAGTCTCACGGGACGTCAAAGACCCAAGATACCCTTGGCTAAAGCCATGATGATTACGAACTCTCCACAAGCCTGGCCTTGCTATACTGTGAACATGCAATTGGACGAATTTTCACGATGCTTAGTCATTTACTGATCAACTGACAGTGATATTCCCTGAATTCAAGATTGCCTGAAAGATATGCTTTGATGGCTTTAGAATGAAAATGTGGGATACGCCAGTTGGTGCCGTATTTCAAGTTGACTACGATTTTTGATCGCTGAATAGAACGACACATTTATGGTGTCTTTCTGTACGTCAACTGTGAGCATAATGCAAATGGCGATGGTGAGATGGAGGATGAACGACTACAGGATTAGTGATCTAGCCACGCTAAAGAACATTTGTAATAGATAGGTAAAAAATTAACACAGAAATAACACAAGCAAATTTCTAATGTAATTACATGACGAGTTGTCTCACAGCTCCCTAGCTCCTCTGCACTGGAGGAAACCTCCATCTCTATGACCGTCCATAGCAGCTCACCTCCAACGATTCGTAATGTTGGCGCATTATTGAAAAGTGTGGACGATACAGTGAGGAAATGTCTTAAGTGTTGCACAAGAAAGAGGAAACATCGTCATTCATGTTGCTGAAAGAAGGGTGGCTACGAATGTCGTCAACCTTGCCAGTGGTGGCAATCTGGCCGCCACCGGTGCGGCATCCGGTGTCACTTTCATGTGTTAGTCAGGATTATCTACAGCTGCCTGTTGCTAATTACTTACTTGTAGAAGATGTAGTTAAAAACATGGGCATCCAGCGAGCTGACCTTATCGTTAAGTCTTCCGATAGGAGAGACTGTAGGATGTTAGTTGGGAGCTCTCTTGAAGGATAGATGTAAAACAAACCGCAGAAGCCAAAGTTGAAATTGATCGTGTCGCAGTCAGCCATGCCCTTGTCGCTACAAAGAGTAACACTCTGGTTGATCTGTCTCTCCTCGACCTCCTTTGTCGAAGTCTCGACGGGAGCTGCGAACACAGCGGAGGAGGCAAGAAGAACAGCGATGATGGTCTTGGAGAACATTTTGGCGGTTTCTTTTGGAAATTCAAGTGGCAGAAGAGGCGAGGATCTTGAAACTTTTGATGCAATGGTTGGGGGAGCTGAGTGAGCTAAACATTGTCATGATAGTGGAAGACACTGAAGTGTAATGCTGATGAGAATAAAAAGAAGACTTTCCATGGTCGTGGAAGCCCGTCTTTTATAGGTTTGAGCGCCAAATGCACATTCGCATAGTCATGGATGCTTCAAAGGACTTCTTCAATCGCCATCTCACTCGCTTCCGCGAAGGCGCAGTCCACCTTGATCGTCCGCAATACGAGGCCTCACAGGTCTGGCCTCATTGTCTTTTTTTGCCTGATTATTGATCACCAAGATTACAAGATTCTAAACGAAGCTGAAGTTTTCATCACGAGTCACGACGAAAGACGTGGTAAATAGTTGAGGCTGGGCATTGATGGCTTGGCGGCTATACACTAGCCTCTCAATATGGCAAGTCTTTAGACAATCTAGACCAATCTGACGTCTTGCTTGCGACGGAACCGTTTACGGAAGCTATGAGAAAGGGCTGGTTGAATGCAGAGCGTTTTAAAGGGGGAATGCTCGGTCTGTCGCGAGACACACGCGACTCGTGTGTCTGTTTATACAGGTTCATGTCTTGGGACGTCACCTGAGCTTTGAGGGAGTATCTCACCAATACCTTACGACAAGAGCATGGATGCTCCTTCCCGAATGCCACCATTCGATATCACATTCTGCTTCTCTTATAATATAACTTAATGTACTTGGTTTTCTACAACTTAAAGACCGCACAAGTGTTTCCAAAGATGCGGCAAAATGTGAATTTGCCGGCAAGAAGTCTTCTCGGCAAAGAGGCAAGTTCGCCGTTGGAACGTTCGAGTCACGAGCTAGGTCTCTGATGTCGGCGCCGACACCAAGAACCGAAAAACCTCTATCAATACTGCGAAATTCAACTGAACTTTGCTGATCTTGGTACAAAATGTGCAACAATTGATTGCGATTTATTCAAGCGGTCATGCTGCTTAGCTATGGTAAGTTCTCCTGTGTACAACTTGCGGGGAACACTCGGCCTGGCGATATTTTGCCGTCTCAATATGCTTTGAGTGACTGCCTCGGCACTTCAACAAATCTCCGTCCGATTGTCTTGAATATCCGATACTCTCGGACTTTCCAGAGGTTGTGTGTCATAGAAAGGCCCCCAAAAACCTGTATAACCGGCGAGGGACTTGGACGCCGATTCATGAGGTTATAACTTATAAGTACCAGTAATTATTTTCCATAGCTCCTGTAACCGAAAACCATACACGATATTCCCTTGCCAATTCAGTCTTTCGGATCATTATCATCAACTCTTTTGCTCATTATGACGATCAGTCACTCCCACCATCTCAGCGATCGCCGCCTCATCAAGTCAACAGCATCAGCCGCTGCCGTTTGTGTTCAAAATCTTGGTTGCTGGAAGGCTGCAGTTAACGAGATACAATCTTGGCCAGAATACACATGTCAGCCGTTACGGGCTTTACCTAATGCTGCCAACACTTTGGGACTTAGCAACATCTTTGTCAAAGATGAGAGTAAGCGATTCGGTGAATCTCTAGGCTCTTTCAAAGCCTTGGGTGCACCATACGCTGTTTTCTCCATCCTTGCAGACGAAGTTCTCCGCCAGACTGGAGTTAGGCCATCGTCAACAGAATTGCGCAGCGGCAAATATGGCGCGTTCACTCGGAACGTGACTGTATGTGTCGCGACGGATGGCAATCAGGGCCGAGGACTCGCTTACGGTGCCAAGATATTCGGCTGTCGATGTGTGAACTACATCCACAGCCATGTGAGCCAAGGCCGTGCCAATGCGATGATAGATCTTGGAGCGTTGGTCATTCGAGTTGATGGAGAGTACGAGGAGTCGGTTCGTCGGGCAAGGGAGGATGCCCACATGAACGGTTGGCATTTCGTCAGCAGTACCTCGTGGTCTGGCTTCGATGAGATCATTCCGAAGACTGTCATGAATGCCTACATGGTCGTGGTTGAGGAGACGCTTCAAACGTTGCCCCGTGCAGGGGACATTACCCATGTCTTTGTTTGCGGTGGCGTGGGTAGCATGATGCACCGCGGCAGCGATCTTTATGGGTCTTTACAAGCACTTTCAGGAGCTTCAAAACCTGGGTCACTCTGTTCAGATTCCACATTTCGTTGTTATCGAGCCAAACCAGGCAGACTGTTTGTTTCAAAGTGCCAAGGCGGGAGAAATGCGCCAGTCCTGTGGCAGCCTGCGCACTCTCATGGCTGGCTTGGCTTGCCGTGGCCCGTCTCCGGCAGCATGAAAAGTTCTTGAGTGGCTTACTAGCGACTTTGTCTCAGTCTCTGACTCAACTGCGGTTGATGGGATGATATATCTAGCGGAGGGATGCGAAGGAGATGTCCCTGTGGTTTGTGGGGAGTCGTCAGCTGCGAGCATGGGGCTTCTTCTGAACTGCATTTCTAACAAGGCTGACTGAGTATCCTCGTTCTCGTCATTATTTTACTACAACGCAGAATGAAACTCGTCAGTTCTCTGTCGCAAAAAACTTCATCTCTTGTCAATCTATCTGGGGTCCACCATCAGACCAGAACATAAGACCGAGCACTTCAGTCCAATAGATGTTCACATGTAATTTCCGGTGATGTATCGCTGTTCCCAGTTCTGTGAGATGAATTTTCCGGAATCAAATGTACGCTCTCTCATTTCCACCGGGACTTCATAGGATCACCCGGAGATCTCTCAATGTAGATGTTGTTGTGTTACGCTGGAGACGTGCCGGTGGTTGTTTACATGGTGGGAAGAGTGACATACCGCCGCTTTAGGATTAGTACGTCTATTCTTAGACCCCCATCGTGCCGAAGTATCTGCTCTTGGGGGCTCGTCGAGTCTTCGTTGAAAACACGAGTGAGTCGCTCGCGTCAAAATTCTGTCTTCGGATCGTACGTCTATGGAGCTTTAACTCGCCAAGATATAGAAATCTCAAGAAACTGTCTCCTCAAGCTTCGCTCCGCCGGTCAGTTAGTGTTGCGAAGCAAACAATTGATGATCCATAGCGCTTGGGTTGCCCCACATTTGTGCGCATACCATCGGTGCTCTAGCGTTCAAGCGCCCAACCTCGGCTGTTTGCTGTTTGTCTCACCCCCTTCTGGCCAACTCACCGAAATCACACTGAAGCTCCCCCGCCAAATAAGAACGATTACTGATCATCAAGAAACGATACATTAACCAGCTCGGCTCAGCTACACTCTAAATTTGGTGAAGGGTGCCATCACTGAAACCATCACTTCAAGTCCCCAACGTGTCAACGAACCTACTCCACCATGGCCACCTTGCAAGAGCAAGTCGCCGCGGACGACCTCGGTTCAGACAGGTTCGCCAGCCGCATTAACCCTGGACGCATGGGCAATGCGCAAAACATTGCCTACGGAGGGTGCACCATCGGGTTCGGCATCTCATCAGCATGCCACACGGTTGAACCCAAGTACCTTCTCTATTCAGTCACCGGCAACTATCTTGGTCCAGCCTTGACGGATCGGAAGCTGAAAAGTACTGTTCGCAGAGTTCGCGACACCAGAACCTTCGCAACAAGACTCATTGAGATCAGCCAGGACCAAGATAATGGAGATTCGCGACTGTGCATGATCATGCTGGCGGATTTTCAGGTGAAAGAGCAGGCTTCGCTATTGTTGTACTCAGCACCGCCATCGAGGTCATATTCTCCGCCAGAAAAGGGTCTTCTCCCGACTGAGGCAGCGGAAAAGCTGGTCAAGGAGGGCGTCGTATCGGAGAAGCTGGGCAAGCTGTACCTCGTTACTTTCGGTCTGAACGCCCGCTTTCTCGAAAGTCGCATGACGCCTGAGGGCGTTGCCCCCAACAATCTCCACGGCGTGGCCAAGAAAGCCAAAACACCCCAAGATGACCTTCCTCTGACTTCCAAGACCACGGCCGATTGGCTTCGGTCTCGCCATCCAATGGAGCGCCTTCAAGACCGGTTCGCCGGCCTAGGCTTCGTCCTAGACGGGGCGCTGTCTTTCATCCCTCTCACACACAACCACATGTTCCTAGACGACGCTGCAGCGTGCTCTAGCCTTGACTTCGCGCTCAGATTCTTCACTGGCGAGATAGATTTGGACAAGTGGCATCTCAGAGAATTGAAAACCATCACAGGACGCGATGGGAGGACCTACACCGAAGCCAGACTTTGGGATCAAGATGGGAACATGGTCGCAAATATGACCCAGCAGTCCATCATGAGGCCTTTGAAGAAGGCGGCCACGGCCTCTCTTTAGAGATTTCCAGTCTAACTGCCAGTACTAGACCTGTGCATTCGCGGAATGGGCTTTTAGTCAACAGAGAGTCCACCGAAGGTTACGTGGGTTGGCTTGTTTAGAGAGTAACATAGACCTCTGAACGCCCATGTCTCTCTAGACTCCGTATGTTTTTATAGATGTATATTTCATAAGTAGAACCCGAATCATGATTTCTTCGCTTTGAAGACCCTTGCTCAAGCTTGGACTTTCATCCATCTTAGGAAGATGAGGCTTGCACTAGACAACGCTTTCAGTTCGTGTTGCTAGCCTTACTCCTGGAAGTTTCGCATTGCATCGGATACTTCCGAAAGAACATTCGGTCTACTCTCTGAACTCTCACACTAATATGTGATAAGGAGACCCTTGTGCCGTTGTTCCGTGTTCCCGGAAAGTGATAGATTAATCGAATCAACCAAATGACATAGATGGGGATTGCATTCGATGTGTGGTCCTGATCCAGTCAGTCATCTTACGCATTAGCGATTTCGTTCTTTACTTCCCTATTCTTGGTTGAAACTCAATGAGCAGACATAATGCGTGCCAATTGGACGTCGCTGGTTGCATTCCTTGCGAATTGCAGTACGAATCTCAACTGCTAGCCCCCGCCTGGAACGGCCAGGAATATCCAAACTACTATCGTACGAAGTTTCGTTCAATGGGTCGACAGGTTCATCTGCGTTCGTCATGAACTTGCCTGCGTTTCTCGTGCTGTCATCGGCGGCAGCCGGCCAGCATGGCGGACAACATATGTAAGCATGTCGGAGCTGTACCGATAGTATTGCCGTCCATCCGAGTGAAAGATTCCAAGCATGGCAGCATGAGGCAACAGCAATTCTAAGTCATGCTTCGCCATAAAGGCCTCCTGAGACTCAATGACTCGAGCTCCTTTGTCAAAACCACGACCATCGGTAAGAACCGATGTAGCCTGCGGGGCATCATGCCATCGGCGCCGCCCCGAAAACCAAACCTTGAACTGGAATTACATGCGGGGTAGTCTGAGTCCGTGAATCCGGGGAAATTGGGGTACGAGGGTTTGGCAAGTAAATGAGATGCCGTATTATAATAGCTTCCTCCGGGTTGGTTGAATTGGTGTCGCAATTTCGAGCATTCAGGATATTTGCTATCCAATTGCCAGCCGTTACGTTACAATGGACGCTCTTAAAAATCATCCCTCGCGAAATATGTTTATGGTGTAAAATCATTGCCTCCCGGAATCTTTAACTGGCATCTATTTGTCACAGTTGCTGCATGTGCGCTAGGGGGCTGCCCGAAAGATTGTAATTCACCACGACCTAGTTTCAAGCTTTGAAGTCTTTTACTAACTAGCCATATCTTTGATAGGATGGGACGAAGGAGCTGCTACTTCAATCACCGAGCTCGAATCATTCAAACACGCTTATCACCTTGAAGGCTCCAATAGCAAAACAATGATTTCTAACCTCGCCTCGTTCGTCAACATCGGTGCAGGCGTCGGAGCATTTCTGTCCTTCTTCCTCAACGACAAGATTGGACGTCTTTGGTCGATGCGCCTCTATCAGACAATTTATGCTGCCGGGTCTTTGATATCTTGCTTTTCTTACGGAAATCATGGCGTCCTTTACGTCGGACGCATCATTGCCGGACTGGGAGTTGGTGCTTGCACGGTCGTGGGCCCAATGTCCATCGCTGAAATGGCCCCAAAGAGCATTCGAGGTCTGATGACTTTATGGTTCAATGTCTGCATGCTGGGAGGCCAGGCACTGGGCATTTTTACAGTGTTTGGCTGCAGCACCAACATTTCATCGGAGCACAGCCTTCAGTACCAGATTCCCTGGTTCGTTCAGACCTTTGTTCCCGCAATCGCTGTCGGCTTGTCATTCTTTTCAGTTGAGTCGCCGAGGTGGCTCGCCATTCAGGGAAAGCAAAAGGATGCCCTTGACGCTCTGGTGAAGCTCCGTGGTTTACCAGCTGATCACTCATACTTGGAGGAGGAGTATGCCTTGATCGAAACCCACTTGGATGATGAGAACCAGCAGTCAGGGGATCAGGGCTATTTGTCTATTATGAAAGAGACTTTTATGGTACGGTCGAATCTCCGCCGGGTGCAGTTGACTATCGTTGCCTACATACTTGCCCAATTCTCCGGCGCCAACTCGGTAAGTAACCTGATCTTGACTGGCCGACCCCGTTTGCTAATTGGCACCTTCCGGTTACCAACTATCTTCTAACGATCTTCGGTTACATTGGAGTTCAGGGTGCTGGTGCCAAAGTCTACTCTTCAGGCTTATACGCCGTCGCGAAGATGATTTGTTGTCTTGTCGCCTCCCTTGTCTTTGTCGATGTCCTCGGCAGACGAAAGTCTCTCATGATCGGCATCACAATTCAGGCTGCTTGTCACGCCTACCTCAGTGGCTATCTGAAGTACTTTACCAAAGACCCAGACTCTGTGCCGAAAGGGGCATCAGACGCTGCCATCGGCATCATCTACATCCACGCTCTTGGATGGGCTATGGGACTCTACACTTTACCGTACCTGTTCGGTGCGGAGCTTTGGCATAATCGTATTAGATCATTTGGTGGTGCGCTGTCGCAAGGATTTCACTGGTTGTTTTATTTCGCCATCACAAAAGCAACGCCGAGCATCCTGAGTAGTATGGACATTTGGGGTGCGTTTTTATTCTTTGTCGGATGGTGCATCCTTGCCTTCATCTACACGCTCTTCTTCATTCCTGAAACGAGTGGCTTGAGTTTGGATGAAATGGATGCCATTTTCGAGCGACCCATGCACAAGATGCGACAAGCAGCATCTGGAAAGAGTGAGGAGGAGCGAATCGGTAGGCGAGTCTCGGTTGAAAAGGAGGCAGTGGCCCATCTTGAAAGAGACTAGATCAAGAACGAAATGAGCAACACACTATCTCCCCAGTTCACATCTATCAACATGAAACCTGCGGTTTCATTGTGTCTCAAGCAGCGGTGTGTGCGCATCTACTGTAGACGCACGCAAATACCTTCGTCTCGTTGACGCGAGCGTAGCTTTGTCGATGCTTGGCCCACGGAAGACACCCTTTCTCGAAAAACCCCACCCTAACCAAGTTAAGAAGAACAATACCGATGCCACAATGCTGTAAATCATCAGCTATCAGGCTCCACCAAGACCTATCGACTGCCTTTGGTTCTTCCTGTGCAGATATAGTCACTGACCTGTTGTAATTCATGTTGTAAGGTGTTATTGGATATTCAGTGGGAAGACAGCAGGCGATTACCAGCAACACAGTCCAGATTGTCGATATGAAGTTAACAGCGTAGCCAAATCGTCCCAAGCTGAATGGTCGCTCAGGGAGAAGCTCGTCACGATCCACGAATAGGAGAATGGCCTGTGGGATGACGTAGGATCCGACCAGAAAGATGATAGAAGCGCTCACCATGAGCTCAAATGCCGTCTCTGACCCAACGAACACCAATCCATAGACCTAGTAACTCCTTAGTTTTGGTATCGCTCTGGCGCAAAATGAATGACTCTTACGATGGAAAATGCCGCCTGTATTATGACAGCGTTGAGAGGCATTCCGAATCTTGGACTTATCTGCTTCCACAAATCGGATCGCGGAAAGCATTCGTCGCGTGCAGCAGACCACAGTGCTCGGGACGACCCCGTTATGATTGCGACCACGCAAGCAAAGAAGCATATTGCGAAGGCGACCATGAGAAGTACGGTTATGACTCGACTCCCTGTTGCTTGATAGTACAGCTGGATCAGGGGGAGTCCACTAGGTGCATTCAGAATCTCATCAATGTCCTTGATGACGAACATGCAAGTGCATGCAAACGGAAAAACTGGTATTCAATTAGTGCGAGAAGTATCGTGGCCGAAGGGCTCAAACACTACCTGTTGCCAGTCCGATTATTACTGGGTAGATCTGAGTCCTGTTAGCACACTCTCGCGAGGAGGGAATTGCGAGAATACCCACGATCACTTTGGGGGCAGTAACAGTGGGATTCGGGATTTCCTCCGTCATGTGGACACCGGCATCCGTTCCGAGGAACCCATAGAGATTATTGACGAAGCAAAGCACCCATGCGAGAGAGTGACTTTCCCATCCGCTGGATATCGTGTTGTCCGTAAATACCCACCTGGCCGAGTTGTAGTTGGGGTAGCTGCAGAAGAGCATTGTAATAGTTGTTACTACTAGGGTTGCCATGGAAAATACGACTTTCCTCGGCAGTTAGTCGAGAGCTTCAATGTCTCCAAGGGAATCTTGTAGACGTACAGATGAAGCCAGTCAAAGCCGGTAGTTTTCGGGCTCCAACAATGTTGATAGTGGCTCCAAGTACCATGATAGCCACGTAGACAAGATACTTGTGCCATGGGTCGATGATGTAGTCGGGATTCATAAACTGCACGATGGATAGGACCATGCCAGAGATGAAGTTACATGTACTTGCGCCTCCAAGCCAAATGCCCAATACACTTATTACGGCAGTGCTTTCAGGCGAGTTAATAATAGTTCATGCATTTCAGAACGTACTGACTTACCTGTACGAAATGAATGGTCCCCATTTCGGGGGAGACAGGATATAGGCCCAGTAGTATTGCCCGCCGGCGACGGGGAATGCAGAAGTCAACTCAGCCATCCCCAATGATATAATGCCAATGAATAAAGCCGCAGGAATGAGCATTAATATGCTGCCAGAAGACGATCCCTGCTTAATACCATTGCCGATGGCACTGCACAAGACAACCAGTCAGTTACGTTACTGTAGGATGTCTGGAGAACCTGAGATTTGAGATGCTAACCTGGCGAAACCATTCCATGTACATATCACAGCATAGGACAAAGCCAACAGAGAAAATGTAGAGAACTGCCTCGGCATCTCTCGACGGTACCCAGATGCCTCCAATTCCGCATCATCGTAGTTGGGCTGGCCATCAGTATCTTCAATCGGAGGTCGGGCTGATGCGCTAGGTACTGTCACTCGTCCCTCAGCATCCTGGCCAGGTCTCAATCTTGAGGCCGGTTTCATCGCAGCCAGTCGTTCCGACCGAAGCTTACAGGCATGGGCTACCTAGATGCAGCGTTGGACGACTGAGGGAGGTGGTTGAGACTGCGTTTTGTGTCGGCGATGTCGGCGACGTCGGCCTGACTCAAGGATCCGCTCCCCGCAACGCTAGTAAAACTCGCTAATAGCCCGTGACCTACAGCAGTCATTCTAGCAGCGATAAGCATCTTTTTCGCTCTTGCTCGCTGAGACAATCGGATACCTTATCAACCCTCAGTCAAACTTTTCAGGAAATGAAATCCAGCAGCCTCGGAACGACAGCTGGCGGCCGGATATCAAGTCCTTGAAGAAGACCGACCCGGGAACGGCAGGTGCGGCCCCACTCCGGGCGCAGCAATCGGCTGGCAGCAGTCGGCCAACTCCCTCGGCCGCGTGAATTATTGGAAGCCCAAAGCCGTGAATGATCATTGGCACGTCGCGGGACCAGCCTGTGTTCACGGTTTCCTCACAAAATGCTGCAAGGCCAGTGTGTTGAAAAAAGGCCGTACTCGGCGTAAGGTATTCGAAGGAGGAAAGGACTTGCGATGTGAGCTGAGTTCGGAGATGTTGCGGCTGCGAGAATCTATTCATCACGTCCATCATGCACAGTGAAAGTCAGTGTATTTTCAATGGTCAAATGACACGATTTTCTGCGTCCTCATCTTTATAGAATGTATCACAATGCCTTTCATATACCACAGTCTACTTCATCACTGTAGTCAATTAAGCCCTTTTTACAACCACCGATTATACCCTGAACTCCTTCATAAGCCGCAACCTAAGAACTTGTGTTCCATTAAGACATTACACACTAAAAGTAGTCCACATCTCATCAAAATGAGGGGATAGAAGAGGAAGAAGTCATGAGATCAATCAAGCACACATCATGTCGTGCAACTAAATTACTCAGTTGCATGCGCCAAAGGCAGGCTGGCACCCGGTACCGCAGTGGTCGGTAGTGCTTCCACACCAACCATACTGACTACAGCACGTGGCACCAGGCTCCTTGATACAAGTCGTACCGCCCTGGGTCGAACCACAGCGGCCGTTGGTGCTCACCGGCGGAGTACCTGAAGGCCCGTTAGCCGAGCTGACGGGAGTAGATGAGCTCGCAGGCGTCGATGACGACGGCGGCGCAGAGCTCACACGTACAATCGAAGTTGACGCGCCCGAAATGGCACAGGTGCCGTAGAGGAGCTGGCAGGACGCGCCGCAGTGGTCGGCGGTGTTGCCGCACCAGCCGGCGGAGGAACAGCACGTGGCGCCGGGCTCGTTGATGCAGGTCGTGAAGCCGAAGTTGGGGCCGCAGCGGCCGTCTGTGGAAGGCGTGAGGGTTCCTGTGGGAGAAGAGACGGAGATGGTGAGGGTGGTGGCAGTGGCGCGGGTGGTGGTCGTGCCGGAGCTGGGCGGGGCATCGCCGACGGAGCGGTACCAGTTCTCCTGGGGGTCGCCGAGGCACTCTCCGACAGTGACGGACTTGAAGCCGTTGCGGAAAAGGGACTCGAGCATGTGGTCTGTCAGGTTGTAGACGGACTGGTAGACAGGATCGTGCTCGATTTGCAGCCACTTGGTGTTGGCGGGGTCCTTGCCTTCCACGTTGTCATCCCAGATGTCCTTGGAGTCCTGGATGAGCTCTGGGCTGTCATGAAGGTAGCCCTCAGTGTCCAGGTTGAAGTAGGTGATATGGTAGCCAAGGTCATCCAAGTAGCCTTCACAAGTGGCGTCACAGGCGGAGTAAGGGGGTCTATAGATGTCAGCCAGGTCTTCATTGCGGAGAGAAAATTGTAGCATACCTCATGTAAGTCGGGAAGTAACCCAGCAGGTCGGCGAAAGCGATCTCATTGTAGATCATCTGGTTGCGGAACTTCTCTGCGCTGATGGTGGTGAGTCTCTGGTGGGACCACGTGTGGCTAGCAACCTGGTGGCCCTCGGCGATCATGCGCTGGCAAAAGTCAGTTTGCGAATCCATGTTTCTGTAACGAAGTCACTTACTCTGATCAGAGCAGGCCAGTTGGTAGTCGGGTCGTTGATCTTGCCCTTGCCCAGGTTGTTGCCAGTGATGTAGAATGTAGCCTTGGCATTGTACGCCTACACAGAGATCAGCCAAACTCATTCGTCGCTACCTGCCTGACAAAAACGTACCTTCAGCTTGTCCAGCAGATCCTCGGTGTAGATGTAAGGACCGTCATCAAAACTCAAAGCAATGTCACCGTACTGCTCGCAGTGATAGATGGCCTCGCCGTAAGGCACCGGGCCAACCTTAGTGCGAGCGACGTTAGTCGTGTCCGGCCCGTCTGGGCGGATGTTGGCATCGCATGCCGGGCCGTACTCAATCATGCACGACGGCGCAGAGCAGTAGAGATACCCTTGACCGCACCATCTGCCATACGTCTTAATATCTCAGTCTTGGAAACATCTGGGATAGAGACATGACTTACCCTGCGCTGGAACAGCAGTATCCATCGTCGCAGACCTGGTTGTCGTAGTCCGGACCGCAGCGGCCCACGGACTGACGCGCCTCCAGCTCCGAGACCGCTGGCGCCGGCTCAGCTTCCGCAGCGCGGCGCTGAATCTGGCGACGGGCCGCAGTGAAGTCCTGCATGGCGCGTCTCCCAGTCATGATCTGGGGCACGGGAAGCCTGTCGCCAGAATCGGCGCCGTGTGCAGCGGCTAAGCCGAGACCAGCCGCGAAAGCGAGGGTAGTGAAATGCATCGTGAAAGTGTGCGGGGAGTACAAATTGGTGGTAACGAGTGATTTGTCCCCGAGGACACACACAACAGCGCTGAACGAATGGACTATGGCAAGGCAGAATTCAGTGAAGAACAGGGCCAGGCCAAATGGGACAATGTACACAAAAGCAGGAGGTGAATCTACCGAAAACACTGCTTTTGGCAACTAATTACACCGTGGACCGGAAGAATAGCAAAGCGGACCAGACGGCTCGGGGCCGGAAAGTGTGTTTTATAACGGAAGGGCATGTTCATCTGATCGGGTGAGCAAGCTACCTTGGGCATGTAGGTAGTCTCTCGGCTGAAAATACGACCCTACGCAGGCGGCGTGAGATCGGCCGCAGCGTGCTTGGCTCCAGCTCGGAGGGGGAAGTAATTACAGCGAGCAGGTCTCTGCCGGAGAGAAACGCGACGTTCTGTATGTGCGTGTACATTGCTGGTCATCCCCGCATGGCGGTAGATGCCTGCACCGTGGAGCGAGCTTCCAATGAGACATGGGTGCTTCGAGGCGGCGGCGGCTCCCCGTTGGTCGGGGCCCTCTGCCGGCAAGTGACTATTTTAGTCACCTCCATCTGATAATACGAGGGCGAACAAGAGAAAAGCAAGGAGCCTGCAACGTGAATAAGACATGGGGATGGTTCTAGCGCAAGTAGCTGAACAAATCCCCGAACGTCACGGGTCACTGGCGGCGGTCACGAACAGAACTGGCGGTGATTCAGGACGCCACTAGGCATCTGAGAAGACAGTTCTGACATGGCTTGAAGATGTCAGAACGTCCTGTGAGTGAGTGGTGGATGTGCCGACTACGGCCACCAATCTTGGCACTCTGGTGCCTGACTGCCTGTGAGATGTGTAATTGGAGGCGGCGCAGGCAATATTGAATCCATACATGACCTTGTTGTGTGCCTAACACAAGAGATGGTGTACAGACAGCCGTCGTTTGAGGTACCAAGGCAAGCCAAGAGAGCCTCCATCGAGCACAGGCTGACTGGACGTAAGCCGACGTGGATCCGAAGACAGGCAAGTCAGCCGTTGTGGGGTCTTGAAGAGCGTCCAAATCGATCGAGGAGTGCGTCAAAAGCAAAAAAGACCAATATGAGAAAACGAGGATGGTCATTGAGGTGACAAGGCTGGGCGTTGGTGCTGATGCCGAGCCCGCGTACGGCATAGTAACGTGCCTTGCAGATCAGCCGAGTAATAATGCTGTGGACAACGATGGTATGATGGCATTGGATTCCTTTGATTGAGCTGCTTGCATATTGACCTGTTGCCCGGCTGTTGTTGACGCACAGCAGCCTGGGCTATATTGAAGAGGGGCCTCACTGTGATGTCTCCAGCTTTTTCTCATGTAGGTGAGATGGGGCCAGGATGGGCTGTGGATGATGAGATGCACTCGTTTTTCTGCAGTTGGATTAGTGAGGAAACAGGCGTGGGAAGAAGACGAGGTGAGAGGGAGGATGAATGGGTGAGTGAGATGGAGACTTGAAAAGTGCTGTGCAGCAGTGAAGCAGCGAGCTGGGGGCGGAGAGCGAGGCAGGGCGATAATTTGTGGGGTGGGTCCGAGCCGCACGGGCTCTTTTTCTCATAAGAGAAAGTGCATAAACATCATGCATCAATCGAGGAAATACCCTGGAACCCCTTTTGGAGGCTATTCCCCCGATTATTGCCTCCCGCCCCGGGTCCATGGTCAGCTCACCCCCTTAACATGCTCTACCGAAGGTCAAGCTACTCGCTCCGCGCCTGCCACGTCCCACGAGCGCCCCTGACCTGCCGAAGTATTGGCTTGGCAGCGCTCGGTGTGTGTTTCCAGGGCCGCTGTATGCCATCTTCAGGCGTCAGATCGCATCTTTCCAGCACTTTTACTGCTGTTTTTCAGGCCATGTCTGCCGAAAAGATGACCCGGACCAGGGGTTCCTCGCCATCAGCTCACTGTGTCTGGCGAGGGAAGCTTGCCTTACTCGAAGCTTTCTGGCGCTTGCTTGGCAGTCAGCTTTACGTTGAAATGTGACTGTTGCCGCGAAACGTGGACGATTTGCTCGCGCGCGGCTGTGTCTCTGAGCCCGAGTCCTTGTTTTTGTTTTCCTCCTGTCCTGGTTGTGGTTCCTGTGATGTGACGCTTACGGTGGGATTGCAGAGCCCTTTGCCGGCTGGCTCCCTTCAGTTAGCCTCCCATCATGTCGGCAAAGGAACCCCCCGATGCTCGATTGACAGCAACGTCGGCCACCATTCTGGCTCGTCCTTCCGAAAGGACGCCC